TTTATTTTATACTATTGTTGATTTCATGTAGTGCATTATTTTGATTTGAATTAGAATAACAATCATTTTTACCATTAATACTTTGAAATAGTGTTTAATATAGTCATTGAAGCAGTCTTTTTATATAAAAATTATTTATATGATACATAAAATAAATACACAATTGGATGTACAATAACAAAGGCAAAATGAACAACGGTAACTTCAAAATTTGTAATCAATATGTTTCTGTAATTTAATTTATGTATACGGAAGATTTATGCAGCGTTATCAATATCTGGTCATATTTATAATAGTCTATATCTTATATATTCTATCAATATTATCACACATCTTGTACACAAAATCTCGTTTACATTTAAAGTAGAAAATATATTAACAAATCTCATGTCTTGGTGATATAAATTTAGGATATACGTATGTATGAAAGACTTGTTTCTCTATTTTTATAACGATGATAGTTATCCATGACAATAAATTCTAACTTTTTTTTGAGAAAGAGTTGCTAAGAATAAATTATCATTAACATGAACTGAGCACAAATCCACTACGGGATCAGAAACAGGCAAACAGTTTACTTGTTTTCCAGTTGATACACTCCACAATGATATATTACTATTAGATTCTTGATGCGCAGCAACCAATGTATCATTTTCAACATTTATGTAACACGGACGAGACATAAATTGTTGTGAATTACCAGCGTGAAATGTATGCACTACGTTACAAATGGTTGAGTCGTCGTTTCCCTTTTCTATCGTACATACTATGTGCCTCATGTGGGGCTGCCTAGCATTTGGTCGAGACGATATTAACGTATGATTATTTTTCTCGTCGTAGCACACAGATACAAACGGGCCTTCAAGGAATATTTGTTTTGGTACGTATTTTGATTCTCTTTGTTCATAAGCGTAACATGAATTTAAGCGACATGCTATGAACCCGCCTCGACTGATACCGCTACCAGGATTAAAGGGTACTGATGCTAGAGAAGCCACAGGTGATCTGTCACCTGGGTTGTCCAAAGCTTCGACAGCACCAGAAAGTTGCCTCATATCAAACTGCGTTATAGATCCGTTCTGTGCACCTACAAAGAACATGTGCGGATCGTCGCTCGACCAACAACAACTCCACAATGCAAATTCTGTTTGATAGCTATGCACAATACTATTATTCCTAACGTCTATTAATTTTGCGCATTTATCAAAACCAACGCTAAGCAGCAATTCCTTTTTTGTCGTATTAAACCCCATGTCCCTTATCGCTTCAGTATGTAAGAAAATAAACTGTCGTGTTTGAAACTTCTCCGTGTCAATCTTTCTAATACCGTAGCCCGGAAATAAATTATTTGAAGACTTTTGCGACGCAATTAGAATTCCAAACCAAGGATTGTAATCCAATACTCGGCAACCGCCCTCCTTACATACCTCTATAGATCGATCTAAATGGAACTTTTTAACCATGTGTTTAGAAACGTTTTGCTGTGAGTAGGCAGTTCCTTCTGACTGCATTCTTTCTAGTTCAGATATACGCATCTTCATACGCGAAATCTGTTGTTCAAACAACGTTTCTCTCATAGCGTAGTTTGAAAGTTCCATTTTTATCTGATTCTTTTCATTTGTAACCGTAGCTAATTGTGCTTTTAAATTATCTAATTCGGCAGTGTCTATTGATACTAACTTTTTGGCATACAGATTTCTGATGTCTTTTACTGCAGCCTTTTTATTACATTGTGGGCAACGGCGATTTGCACTAGTACAAATACTTTGTAACCATCTGTAGATACAACTGTGTCCAAATAAATGTCCACAGCGCAAACAACACAGGCGATGCTCGCCAGAACTGGTCCATGTGTCCATGCATATTGGGCAATATTGATCAATATCAGTGTCAGATTCATCCAAAGGCGTTTCTTTTGCTTTCTTTGCTTTTGATTGATCTTCGTCAGAGTCTACTGAAATAAAATATAACACTATTTTCTAAATACATTTAAAAACATAAGCTATAATATAAATAGCAAGAAACGATTAACTTGATTTTCAGTTGCCTCTCGAAGGCAGAAATTTGTAGTTCTTTCGGTGCAAGATACGTGACTGCTCAATCATTTCATTTTATTGCAATTCATTCTGTACATGAAATGATCAAATTATCTGTCACTAAATGATTTCTATTTACTGTTCCTTGTTGGACAACTAAGCAACTTGATCGCATAGTCCAGTGAAAATCGACATGACCATTTCTGGTTCTGAACTCTTCGTATGTAAAAGACACAATGAACTTACCTACTTCTATTACTTGAGCCGCATCTCCTACATTATTATCAGTATTTTCATTGCTATTGCTATTTTCATTGTTCACATTTTCACTAATAATAACATTCCTGTTCTCGGCATTTTCACCATTACCATTTTCATGATCTTCACTTGCAAGACTCTCAGATTCTTCCGAATGGTCTTCGACTATTACGTCCATGCCCACTATTTCTACAACTATTTCTGCAACATTTAATTAAATTTAAGTAAATTATTGTAATTATATATTCAGTATTCTATATTATAC